CAAAATTTTAGAGAAGAATTTCAAACTAGTATTCAATAAAAACCCAAAAGAATTCTATAGGAATTCTTTTGGAATTCCATCAAAAAAAATTTAGAACTAAATTAGATTTAGAATTTAAAACTAGAATTCAACAGAAACTCGATAAGAATCCTATAGGAATTCCCTTCGAATTCCATTGAAAACAATCTTATAGAAGAATTTAAAACTAGAATTCAATAGAAATCCGATAGAAATTCTATAGGAATTCTTTTGGAATTCCATCGAAAAAAATGTTAGAGAAGAATTTAAAACTAGAATTCAATAGAAACCCCATAAACATTCTATAGGAATTCCCTTGGAATTCCATTGAAAAAAATCCTATATAAGAATTTAAAACTAGAATTCCCCAGAAAGACCTTGAGTTTTCAATTAAATTTCTATAAAAATGAACGTCTATAAAAATTCTGCTGGAGTTCCATTCGAATTCTATAGAATTTCTATAAAATTCTATAGAATCAAAAAATTCTGCCAAACAAACATTTGTTTCTAGAAAAAAATTCTGTTGAAAATTTCTTCAAGTTTTTGATTCCTGAATTGTATTCCGGGTAATAAATGTAAAAATTCTGATAAAAGATAATTCCTATAGATTTCCGTCATAAATTCAACAGAAAACGTTGAATTTTCCTCCATTATTTCCATAACTTGTGTCCATCCACCTGAAAAGGGCCCACTTTGTAGATATGGAGTTAGTGGCATGGGCCCATATACCAGATTATATCCCCCGTATTTTGAGACCAACCAGGCCCATCTAACTCGAAAAATCGTCGAGTTATGAAATTTTGAATTTGAATATTCGGAAAACAAAAAGACCCTTCCTGTTTTTTTCAAAAATCAAAATAATTCATTTCTAATCAAGATAATAAGACTCAGCACATCTCATTCGACGCAGAAAGAGTTCTAGTAAAGTCTGAGACAATAAAAAAAAAATATAAATTTTTAACCAAATGAGAAAAAAGCGAATATCTTCGAATCTAGGATCGACGAAGTGGGCCCTTTTCACGCGAACGGCCATTTTTATATTTCTATAAATTCTCTTCGGGGAATAATGAAGAAAATCCCCAAAATTACGACATTAAAAATATACATCGGGGACGAATCTCTTTGAAAATGCCGTGAAATTCCAGTTTCGTTACCAACAATGTTGAAAATATTTTTATAGTTTTCCCCGTGGATGCAGTCACTGGGGGGTTTGACCCTCAACTTGAGAGATATTCATACGAATGAGAGAGATAATAAATACCGGAGGAGACAGGTAAAACGCTAGATTTTCCGAGATTAACTAAAGATCCCCCCGAAAAGTCATAATTTACACTGGCTGTTGGAGACTGCGGGATACAATCTCAAATACTTATACGTATCCCACTGGTTGCAGGCATCGAAGTCTCCCGCTCTCACATTACTATCCACGTGTATATAAAGCTGGAAGTCACTTTTTACCTCTCAACCTTGACGATATACATTTCCCTCTTATATGCACTGGGATTAAGACATTCTCGTATCAATTTTTAACACATTCGCCAGTGAATTCAATATTTTTTATCATTAATTCATTTTTTCAGATATTTAAGACTATTTTATACTTCCAGCATTTTTTTGGCAATTTTTGGGGATGATTATTTTTGGTCATGGTAAATTTTCATTAAATTTTAATGCATGGAATTCTTTTTTATGGATTTTTTTCGGTATAATTACAATGAAATTCCATGACTAAGAGAATTTCCCTAGATTTCCTATAGAATTTCTCCAGAATTCTCTCAAAAATTTTTGGTGATCATTATTTTTGCTCATGGTACATGAATGAAATTTACATTTTTATGTTTAATAAATTCATTGAATTTTAATGCATGGAATTCTTTTTTTATGAAATTTTTCGGTATAATTACAATAAAATTCCATGACTAATAGAATTTCCCTAGATTTCCTATAGAATTTCTCCAGAATTCTCTCAAAAATTTTTGGTGATCATTATTTTTGCTCATGGTACATGAATGAAATTTAAATTTTTATGTTTAATAAATTCATTGAATTTTAATGCATGGAATTCTTTTTTTATGAAATTTTTCGGTATAATTACAATAAAATTCCATGACTAAGAGAATTTCCCTAGATTTCCTATAGAATTTCTCCAGAATTCTCTCAAAAATTTTTGGTGATGATAACTTTTGGTTATGGTACATGAATGAAATTGAAACTTTTATGTTTAATAAATTGATTAAATTTTAATTTTTAAATTTTAGTTATATGTCATTTCAATTGGAATTATGTTGATGGGTCTTTTTGTTTGATGTTAGTGGTTGGAGTTGAAATCATCAATGGGATGCGGAGGACAACTTTCTGAGACTTCGAGTCGAGATTTTTTCGAGGAGATAAAGGCTGTCCCGGTTTTTTTGTACGGATTTTTGAATGTTTTATGGCTGAATTCGAGATATTGCTCGCATTGAAGGCGTGTTTAAGACACTTGACATTAAGCATTCCATTTTTAAGACATCAACATTTATCCTGAAATGTCTAAAATCCCGGAAAAATTCCCGTCATTAACTCAGGACCTCCAACACCAAAAATTGAAAAAAGTATTTCTCTCCGAAAATTCTATCGAAAAATTCAAAAATACGCCATTCCGAAAAGTATTTCTAATAAAAACCATCAATCACTCCAAATCATCTAAAGAAAAATAAAAGATCGCAATCGCATTAATTAAAAAAAAATTTCGAAATCAATTTCATAAATGACAAATAAAAAAAAATTTCAAAAAACAATACAAAAAAAAATTTCGCCTCAACATACTATACAGATAATTCTCTACCTTCAGCATCTCCCTCCTAAAAATAAATTTTCCAAAATCAATTTTATAATAAACAAATTTAAAAAATGAAAATAAATAGAAGAAGAATTTCCCGTATGGACACAAGTACTCCCGGCCCCCCATTTACCGCCAAATAATTCTCTTTCATTAACTCCTCCCCTCCCCTCCCGATGCAAAACGAGTCGGGGAAGGGGCATGGGTGGAGTGAGTGGTGGAGGAGGTGGGGAGGGAGGGGAGTAGGGGGCCGTTAGGCTGGCGGTTCGCTGTGGCTAGTCAGGTAGCCACGACATTGCGGGCAAAAACGAGGAACGCAGTTGTATTATTAAGAAAAGCCCCACGAACCCAAGGCGAACGTTATGCGCCGTTGTATGGGTTGAAGTAGCAACGGTAGAGGACCGCAAGCGCCTTGACGACGATCCGGTTGTTCATCCCCGCCACCCTCCGTACCCACCGTCCCATTCCATCCTATTCCTATTCACCCGGCGCAACGAGGATACGCAGGCTCCCCCCTCCCTCTCAACTAGGACGAGGGACTGAGAGGGGGCCGGGGCCAGCAGGTAATGCGGTAGTGGGGAGAGGGGAGACTCCTCACGGTCGGGGCCTGGGTCCGGACACCACCGCGAAGCCCCAGTTGCTCGCGAGATACCGAATCGAGAGCTCTAGTGTCGCCAGCCCGGCAAACCACACCTTTTTTTTAAAAAAAGTTATAATAAAAATTCTCGCACTCTAGCGGTAACTGTACTTGCCAACGCGTGTGAAAAGCATCCGAGGACATTTAAATAAATAAATTTGTTTATTTATTTTGATTGGAGTTGAAGTGAATTTGAATTTTTGTGGAATGTTCGTGGTATGGAACTGTCAGTTCCGGGAGATAATTGACGGTTGTAACTGGTGACGGTGGTTTGAGGTGGTGAGGAACTTGGAACTTGATTATTTCGGGGTTAGACTGGAGAAGAGATGCCGAAGATATTATGGCTTAAGGAACGACTGCACCAGCAGCAGCTGAGGCTGCTGGAGGCACAGCATCTCAGCAAATCACCGCCGCCGGGCAGTGGAAAGGAGAGTCCACTTGGATCAGAACCCATCAGTCTCATTGTCAACAAGCATCAATGTAAGTGGTCTAGGGGGATTTTTTTTTTATTATTTAATCCAATGGAATGGCAGGTGTGGGATAGATAATGTACCTGCGAACCCGCACGCAGGTGTTTCAATCGACAGAGCGAGATAGTCAGGTCTACCCTTTTATTTCGAAGACGCGACGAGCATTTTTTCAATTTTTAATTAAATCATTAATAAATAATCCCGGAACTCTAAAAATATTTTATATTTAGGCTTATCCTTCTTCTTCGGCTTCAACGGTTCCGAGGGAACGGAAGAAAATTGAAAAGGGAACGCGTGTCGAGGGAGAAATTAATTTTATTCGTTGATTAATTGTTTTTATTATTTTTGGAAAATAATCGCGGTTTTTCTCAGGTGGGAGTTGCCTTATGGCGCCCGTGGCACTTGACCTTTACGTGCCATCGCGGATTTATTTATTAATAGATGATGGAGGAATTTTTCACGTTTTTCCTCGCGGGATTAATTGCTCGGTTGTTTGTAACGAGAATCGAACGGAATTTAAATTATCGACGGGTCTTTAACGAATTGACGAGTCTTACAATGTCATATAAACATTCTTTTGCACAATTGAATTAATTATAAGGATGAGCTGTACTGGTTGTCAATGAGGTGGATAATATAAATACAGTTATGAACGTGTGCTTTTCGCGTTTTTTGAATTCATTCATCTTTAGTTGGGATTTTTTTTTCACTTTTAATCCTCAATTACTCGTTCCTGGACTTTTATGGAACTTTCAATCATCGGAGTTGTCAAGTCAATTGCCGTGAAGAGTCGAGATAACTTTCGTTAGTCAAAGTTCATTTGGAAGATCATTTTTTTTTATCGGAAAAAAATGAATGATTGATTGCTAGTGGATGAATTCATGTTTTATTGCAATAATAAATAGCTTTCAAGATTTTCAATATGTTAATAGACGTTTCCACGATATATCTCCGAATCTAAGGGCGATATCATAATTTTTGTAATGACCTTTTTTGAAGCTCTCAATTATCTTTATATAAAAGGTCTTATCAAAAATTTGGATATCAGCTATAATTTTCGAGATATTCGTTAAAATCTTATCACCAGTCAAAACCCGTTTTATTGTTTCTGGATTTTTTATTTATTTATTGCAATAATTATGGAAAATCTAGTTCCGGAAGAATCCACACTTCGAAAACTTAATTTCAATTGACAAAAGATCTCAATAAATTCTACTTTAAAAAACTAGAAATCGAATCGATTGACAGGTTATCATAAATCTTTCTGTGATGAATAATGAATCAGATAATTTGACTACTGATCAAAAATTTAAAAAGGTAAATCTACTTCGCGCTACGAATTTTTTCTCTTAACCGGAGGTTGACAAAATGGACGCCGCGACGCCACCCCATCGTAACAAGTGGTAACGCGTATCGGTGACCGGTACGAACGTTAAAACCACGGGACAATTTTCTTTTTTTTTCCATTCTTCGATTTTTCAACGACTGACCCCTCACCAACCCGATCCTTCATTCCGTGCACGCGCATTCCAGTTAATTCTCAGGGCCAAACCAATATGGCCGACCACGAAACACTCCACCTGAGATAACCTCAAATCCTCGGTACAGGTATTTTTATTCTCAATTTGTTTTATAATCTCGCGTTATTTTACCGTCACCGACACCGGCAAAAGTGCAGAACGAGACCCTGACCGAAATTCCACCGAGTTAGTGGTAACAATGAGAGGCCAAGTGCAGATGATCTTTATCGTAAATCACGGGGGAATTGACTGTTTTTCGGTGGAACGAGGGTAAAAAGAATTTGAATGCACAAGTTTTCTGTCCCAGCTCGTGGGGATAATGGCTCGACTGGAGTGGCTCAGGTAGACAACAGGTACTCAACAGATGCCAAAAATCATCACAAAAAGATGAGGGGTTCCCGGATGAATGGGATTCTGATTTTCTCACGCCCACGGAGTTCTACTCCAGATAAAAATTCTATTCCCATGGAAAAACATTTTTTTGTAGTGCAGAATTGTAATTGAGACAATTTTTTTGGAGGTCGAGGAATTGTTCGAGAGATTTTTTTCTCTCAAGTAAAAGTACTTGTACTCACGGTTTGACAGATTGTGTGGATTCGTATTGTTCAACCCTTGGTTTAAAAAAAAGTACTTGCACTATGTACTTTCTGCAAATACGAGTCACATGAGAAAAATACTTGAATTAAGTACTTGATTGGTGTTCAGAGCAAACCAGCAAAAAAAAAGCACTAAAAGCACTTCAAGTTCTTTCTCTCATGAACAATCGACATCATACTTGGGCCAAGTACAAATCAAGTACAGAGTTACTTTACCTCAAGTACAATTTAGTACTTGCAACAAGCACTATGTTGTGCTTCGTAGGAATCTATGTATTGCTAAAAAAAATGATCTTCTGCCTGTACTTTACTCAAATTTCCCCAAGTACCATTTAGTACTTGTGAAAAGTACTATATTGTGCTTAGTTGGAACTCGTAGATGGCTGAAAAAAATGATCTTCTGTCTGTACTTTACTTAAATTTTCCCAAGTACCATTTAGTACTTGTAAAAAGTACTTGTAAACTATGTTGTGCTTAACGGGATGCCGGGGTGGATAAAAAAAAAGTGATCTTATACCAATACGCTATAGTTTAATTCGCTCAAGTACCATTTAGTACTCGTAAAAAGTACTAAGTTACGGTCAGCTGAGAATTCTTAGACTGATGAGAAGAGATCCTTTTTACGTTTTCCATCTAAATTTACCAAAGTACCATGTAGAACTTCTGAGAAGTACTATTTTTTTTGCGAGAATCCAAGCCGAAATGAGAACAATGATCTTGTTTATTTACCTTATTCATCATGAGAAATTAGTCAATATACACTCGACTCGCGGTCGGTGTGTCACCTTGTCGACCCACGCACGATACCGCTACATAAATGGCGACGATCCTCACGTACACATTCAATGACGCACGTATGAGTGACATCAACGTGTGAAAACAGTTGGCTCATGTGACAAATCGTCCCTAGGATTTAACCTTGTTTTCTCTCTCTCTCTCTCTCTCTCTCTCTCTCTCTCTCTCTCTCTCTCTCTCTTTTTTTTTTTTCCTTTTCTTCTCTCCTCGTTATTTACCGATGGAATTAAATGCTAGGAATTGTTGACTTCAACCTGTTCCAGTGATTCCAACAAGTGCCTCGCACTCACGTATCCTCCCCTCGGTTCACGCTCCACGGACGATTCAAAGTGCCGCAGGTGCATCCATTAGCATCACAGTGAAACGCCACTGTGACAATAGCCCCGGGATTTCGTTTCGGGGACCGAGACATCTTTCTATTTCATTCAGCTGGGGGTTATGGTTGGGAATTTATTCTCCTGGGAAAAATTAATATTTTAAAGGTACCGCACAACTGAGCCGACAAATCTCTTGATGTTTCAATTCCAGATATGGATTCAGCCATGGAATATCACGATCCCCGACCATTTCGATACATTTCGATATATTTCGATACATTTCGATATGTATCGACAAATTTCGATATGAAACAACTTCACACTGTACCGCCATTTTTTCAGGATTTCAAATGGACAATATAGATAAATTGAAAGACTATTTTTTTTTTAATTTTTAATGGATAAATTGAGAAAATATTTTTATTTATATTCAATGGAATTTATACATATTGTACAAGTGAAATTCTAAATAATCGCCATGCCGCGTGAAGTTATTTTGTATTGGAATGTATCGAAATTATTCGACCACCAACTTTCAACCCTCATAAGGCTTTGTTTTAGTAAATCGAATAAATTTTTTATTCGCATCTACTTTTTTATCGGTCAGAAGACTGATGATGTATAAATTTTTTCACACGCCATTTTATGTTTTTATGCTGATTTCTCGCGAGCGTCATAAAATGTAATCGATTTAATTCCCTTTGACAAGCGCGAGGAATGGATTTTATTGAAGGAAAAAGTGAGAAAAAAAAAATAATAGTAAGAGACTCTCCGAGGAAGAGTAATTGAATAATATTAATCTGAATCAGCCCTTTCTTCGAATCTTCTTCGATTTTTTTTTTCCTCATCGATTGATCTCCGGATTTGACCGATCGATATCTCCGAAATCCAGTCGAACAGCCATCGATCGATGAATAAATCGATCGCTTTCGCAATCAGCCGTCACCGTAGGAGAAAACAAACTCATCAAAAGCTAATCAATCAGAAGTGAAACGAAAATCTGTTGGGAATTATCTAACGACCCTCAAATTCATCACAAACGTGTTATGCGCAACGAATGAAAGATCATTTCGCAACAGTCGATTTCACTCCTTGACCTTCCGACAGCCACTTTTTCGCAAGGAATTCATGATCGAAATGATCTCAACAATAGGCCGCTTACACAACAGGCACCCCATTTTTTCGGTTTTCAGTCCCATTAAAAAAAAAATCTGCCACATTATTTAGTCCTTATTTAATTAATTCAAAAACAATAATCACCGCAAAAATCTGTTCCTTACAAAAAATTTGATTGGTATGATTCCACTCAGGATTACCAATTGTCGATTTTTTTTCAAAAATTTTATTTGATTTTTTGAAAATAATTCCTCGCACGGAACAAATATATTTTTATAATAATGTTCATTGAAGCATTTCTGCAAATGATTGCTGTCTAATTACTCACTCCTAACTTATTTTCCAACGCGAATCGCTAATTTGTTAACTTAAAATATTACCCTAACCGGGGATCGAACCGACGACCCCAAAATCTCTAGTCCTGCGCCCTAACCGCTAGTCTAATGCGCTATTATTAATATATTTTTATATTATTTTAGGTATCACGGAGATATATCTCAGATACATCATTTTTGGTGGAAAATATATCTCAGATATATCCCATTTGTATATCAAATATTTATATTATATGAGCGTTGGATATATTTGCATAGATATATCTTGAATATGAATAAAAGAAAATATATTCTGATATTATTCAGATGTATCTTCGGATATATCATTTAAAAAATTTTAAACGCACTGAAATACATATGCGACAAATATATCAATTATACGCACATATATATTCGGTATATACTTGAAATACACATGAAATATATTTACGGAAAAAAGTTCAATATATCAAAAATATATATCACCAATAATTATTATCATAAATATATTCTGCTTAAAAATCATGAATCATTCGCGTTATCGATTTCACTCGATCGATCGTGACTGTATAAAATCAAAAAGACGTTTTGAAAAAAAATCCAATATAGCAGCTTCGATTCTAGGATAAATTCCCCAGTAATTAAATCCTTAGCAGTAAATTACCGGAGCTAGTTCACAGAGAGTTTTAATGATTTTTTAATAAAATCGTAATTCCTGGAAGAATGCCAACGGTTCTGATTGAGAAAAAAAAAACGGATTTTCGTTGAGAGATGGTGATGTGTGCCAATGTGGTAACGCGAATTCTCCTTATCTAACGCCACGAGTCCACGAGTTTGGAACACCCGGAGGACGCTCTGATGACGCAATCGCTTGCGTCAACGTCGTTAGAAAGTACCAGTGGACAAGAGGTCTTCAAAACTTGATTTTCATTGCTATCCACACGACAACTGAAATTTTAAAACTAGTATGTCCCCGCGATATGCCAATTCTCATGCGACGGTCCCGCCCTTTAAATACCTGTAATTAATTCCGTGGTGGAATGAAAAAAAAAAGAATATTGAGTCCTCGGTCGAGCCAATGGCTTCCTGGTTTCCGCTTGGCCGCAGCTCTCCGTCTGTCCTCGTACTCCATTCACAATTGAAACCAAGACCGCAAAGACGACGATGTCAAAGTCAAGAGAACGTTATGCCATTCTTTTCTAATATAATTATCGATGTCCGATGTAACAGGATCGATGAAATAATGCGGAGGAACGAGACAAGGGGGTTATTACTGGAGAATGTAACAGTTTTCTGGAGGAAGTTCGGGAATTTTATGACTCAGCGGGTCATCGAACTGAGAGATAAGGAGTTTTAGATTCAAGGTCTTGGAGTTTTTCGGGTATGGTAATAAATAATCGAGTTGTGGGACCAGATTGGGCAATTTAAAATTGAGATTTCGTATTCGAAGATGCGAAACTACTGTTGAGTGTATTTTACATCATTAGATTCGGAGATATTCATTGCAAACCGAAGCAGCAGTTTGAATTAATTGATTTGGTGTTGCGATTTGAGAGGGTATGCTAGAACTGAATGGAGATAGAGAATTTTTCATGGGGACTTTTTTGTAGATCTTTTAATTCTCTACGAAAATGTTCAATACAAAACTTCAATATCTCTCTTCGTTTTCGAGATATTCTCAAAAGAGTATCAACTTGTCCCTCTACTGCTACCACCTTTCTCCCCACCATGCGTCCTCTCTAGCCAATTGTGTAGTCCCTCCTCCTATTGATGTATTTAACAGGCTCAATCGATTTTCAGATCGCGACAGAACCGAGGATCACCGGGCGACGACCCCGGAATCCGTCCGGAGCAGCAGTCCACCGAGTTCACCCCCGCCACAATGGCAGCCGCTGACCCCGACGACGACATCCCCGCGTCGTTTCATCTCCAGCATTTTGGGTGGTGATGCTCCCTATGGCAGCCGAGGACACGTCCTGACCCGCGCGGAGCGCAAAGAGTACAGCAGTCCCCTGGTGGTGCCGGAAAAGTTACCGAGCAAACCCGAGAGGCTTGAGCTGCCCCGACCGCCGACGCCACCACCGACGCCGAGGATCGAACCACCCATCCGGGTCTCCGTGATCCAGCGGGTGCCACCCCAGACAAAACCCCGGAAGGAGCAGGCAAAGCTGGAGGTGCCTGCCTCCCAGGAGCCTGAGCAGGATCAGCCGATTGACTATGCAGTACCCAAGCGGAAGGAAGACGTCGACGAGGAACGCGGTCGTGAAAGCGCCAAGGCCTCCCGGGCCTTCGGCAACTCGATCGCCCGTCCTCTGCTGGTGATGAGACTGTCAGCTCCAGGCGCCTTGCAGGCCGCGGCGGGACACGGTAGGTCCACGAACTCTTCCAACAGCTCTTCGTCAGGAAGTAGCAGCAGCTCTTCGACATCCGGCGGAGGTGCCTCGGGGTCCGGTGGCCTTAGCTTTTCTTCGGGCGGTGGCGGTGGTGGAGGTGGCGCTATGGGCGGTGCCGGTGGCGGCATGAATCCTGGGGGCAATGGCGGCCGTGGCAACTACGGCCCCAGTTCGCCCCCCACTGGCTCCCTGCCACCATTCTACGAGTCACTCAAAGGTGGCAATAATCTCGCCAACTTTGCCAATCAGTATGGCAGCCAGGGAAACAACTTCCTGACGCCGACATCCGTAGGAATGGAGTGTGACACTGGCCAGCAGGACCTCAATGGCCAGCATTACGGCGCTCAGGAGGGCAAGCAGTACCAATTGCTCCAGAACATGGCGTCTTACGGGCTGGTACTCAAGGAGGAAGAGGAAGACCTATCGTCCGTCTACAAAATTCAACCAGATCTACTCTCAGGGCAGTACGGGGCATACGATGTCACAGATTCTGGGATGATGGTGGACATGGTGACGGGGACGATGGTCGATCCCCTTCAATTCACAACAGCCTTGAGTTTCAGCTCTCCCTCGGATCATAACGCCCTTTTAGAGAGTTTGTCAGACGCTGCTGACCTCTTCCTCCCCCGAATCTCAGCGGACGACGGCAACGACCTTCTCGAGGAGTCACTGCACTCTCCGGCCTCTGCCGGTAGCGGTATCAACCAGGAAGGCCAGATGACCACTCCAGTGGAGCCATCTGTTGATCCATTCCCTGAGCATGGGATTCCCCTGGCGAGGGCCTTCGATGGCGCTGCCAGGCACTACAACGGCGCGCATTATTCGAATAAATTAGCTGGAATCACCTATCCTGAGAGCGGGTATCAACCCCTGGGGAAAGAACGCTCGGAGCTTGGACTCCATGTTCCTCAGACACATCAGGAGCCCCAGCTGCAGCAATTGCAGATTCAGGTGCAGATGCAGCAGGGCCAACAGGCCAGGTCACCGCATCAGCAGCATCATCAGGGATTGCTGAGTCCGGGACTGAATTTCCCGGGGAGTGGTGAGTTGAGACTTTTTGTGGAGGGACACAATCGATTATTAGGGATTGAGTGATCTTTGTCGATACGTCAGAAAAATCGAGAAAATCTTTGGGTTTTACATTAAAATGGAAGGGTCAAAGTCAAGGGTATTCTTGATTGCATTTATTCAATTTGTGTGTTATTTTTGCAATTTCTAGGACTGGATTTGGATTCTGGTAGCAGTGTGGGCGGTAGTCTTCCAAGTCCAGGAGCTGGAAGCTGTTCATTAGATGGAGCTTCAGCTAGCACATCCCCGGCATGTGGCCTGATGGAACATGCACCGAGTCCTTCTGGTGTTTCAGCAACAGTGAGTTCCCCTAGTGCCTCCGATCCACCGGCCAGTCAGCGCTCGGGTGTTCTCCAGCAGAGGGTAAGCACCCCGGATTGATCCAGGCAAAAGCATATGATACGCATCGATCGTATCTCTTGGATTTTCACTTCATTTTCAGTCTCTCGTTCATTCCACGTTCGATTTATCTGATTTGGATGATTAATTTGGGAGTTTCGTGTTTATGCAATGCCAATCAACTTGAGTGCTTAATCTCTCTGAGACCCCAGTCTTTTTCGTAGCTAAAGCTTGATGAATCATTTTGCATTTTCTGTTGTTGCAGCTGGGACTTCCTGGTGATTGCCAGCTGGAATTCGTTAATGGGGGGCATGGAATAAAAAATCCACTAGCGGTTGATGGACAGAGGACACCCACCACCCGGGAAGAGGAGAGAGCACCTAGACCAGCTGCTGGGAAGGTACTATCATCAGAAATAGTTTGAAAGGTTTAATTGTACTAATATCAATTGACGGATCGAAAAAATAAAGACAATATCTTTATCTGATAGGAGGACGACCCCAGTCGTTTCACGTGTCGTGTATGCAGCAAGACCTTCAGTCTGCAGCGACTGCTGAATCGCCACATGAAGTGTCACAGCGATGTCAAGCGTTATCTGTGCACCTTCTGTGGAAAGGGATTCAACGACACATTTGACTTAAAGCGACACACCAGGACGCATACAGGGGTTAGACCGTATAAGTGCAATCTCTGCGAGAAGAGCTTCACCCAGAGGTGCTCGTTGGAGAGCCATTGCCTCAAGGTTCACGGGGTTCAGCATCAGTACGCGTACAAGGAACGTCGTACAAAGGTGAGATTGCGAAAACAACTCATTTATCAAAAAATTTCGTTCGTTATTCATTGTTGTCCTCTCGAATCGATAGATTTAGAGATAAATCGATAATTAGTAAACATTTTTATGAGTTATGGACGGAATTTTACAGTTGTTCTGATACCGATTTATCTAAAAAACTATTGATTTTAGGTACTTAGATGTACTTTATTGGGCGTAAGTCACGGGAAATTGTGTCAAATTGTAAAACTGAGAATTGATTTTGTTGAATTATCTGTAAGCTCGACGAGTTACTAATATGACGCGATGGTTGAAGAAACTCGAAATTTGATTAATTAACTTCAATATTAAACCTGTTGATGTACTGGAAAAATCGCCTGTATTTTAAATAGAAGAGATCGTCCCTGCGTGCACCACACGGTTTCATTTTACGGGTCTTACCCTTATTCATTCGAGATATTTCGAGATATTTCGAGAAGCTTCGAGTTATTTTGAGAAGTTTCGAGATATTTCGAGAAACGTCGAGAATCATCGAGATATTTTGAGATGCTTCGAACTATTTCGAGACGCTTCGAGATATTTCCAGAGGTTTCGAGATATTTCGAGATGCGTCGATATATTTCGATATATTTCGATATATTTCGATATATTTCGATACATTTCGAGATCGATTTCCTTTCTTCGTTTCTTTTAACAGATCTTTCCAATTCGAAATTCAATGAGTCACAATAAAAAGTCGTAGTTTTCATGATAAATAATAAAATTGAATTGATTACGGAAAAATCGCAAATAGTGCTGTAACTTTCTTGATTTTTTTTTTTTGGACTATGGAGTATCAATAATCATCAAATTTTTTCTCCAAAGGTTTACGTCTGCGAAGAGTGTGGTCACACAACCCAAGAGCCAGAAGTCCACTACCTCCACCTGAAGGACAAGCATCCGTACAGTCCAGCTCTCCTAAAGTTCTACGACAAACGTCACTTCAAATTCACCAACAGCAATTTTGCCAACATGCTCCTCCAGGTGCGCACTTAATCCCCACAATTCGAACTAAAGTGTGGAGCCGGTGCTTAAATAATCTCAGACCGTTGACGATTGAATGATACGATTCAATTTGTAGACTAGAGAAATTAAAACCACTCAGACAAGTGAGAAGAGAAACAAATTGAATGAACAATTGTTTGTTCTTTTGCCGATGTAAATGTGCAGGGTGGCCTTCTGACGGACTCCAAGGACGATAACTCCATTGAGACAGCTGCCAAGACCATCAACAGATCGTCATCGCATCTTGCTCGGACCTCTTCGTACTGAAATCCTTCACTAATTCCTGGAGAATGAATGGCCGTTGAGTGGAACTTAGGAGAGACAGTATTTATTCCACGTTTGTTCATGATTATTATCTGCAGAGCTGGGCAACAGGTCATTGCGAAATTCCATCAAAATCGAAGTCGTGAAATCGAATTTTAGATTTTTCCAAAAGACATTTCTCACGATAAAATCATTACTTACTTGACTTCACTTTGATATTCAATGTTCCAGTTGAATGAGCTATGCAATAGCTCTTTCGAAGTGCATCTCTTCGAAATAGTTATTCCATTTTCCCAGCTCTCAACGTTAATTAACTCACGAGTGCCCGAAGAACTCGAATCCAACGTTTCGAAAGAAAAAAATTTAATTCTCTACCATTTAGTCCTCTGATACGTTGACTTTCGACTTCACCTGGCAATCGAGAGATTCTCTCTATTCCCCGCAATACTGCGAACCTCTCGATCGACTTCACTTATTAATTATTTAACGATCGATTCAGTGAAGAAGAGGTAAAGAGTAACAAATTGACTCGTACCCCAGACGAGTTTTCGAGGAATACCTCCGAGTCCACCGCTCATACAAAATTTTCATATGAACCTTTTTTGCAGACCGAAATTACAGCTACAAAAAAGGTCTCTACAAAAAATTCACTATCTCCTCTAGGTCTCGAGATATCTCCCGGAAAATTAATCTAGTAGCGAAATCGACTCGTTACCTTCTGCCTCTTCACCACTGAATTATTCTGATACCTTTGCGGTAGGGTGTCCTGTGATATAGGGAAAATGGATCTTGTACACGACTTATCATTACAAAACGCACATTAAACTACAGCAATAATCACGAAAAAAAAAAACACGAGAAAAAGTTAAAAAAAAAACGGGGTATCGTGCAATTTATAATTTTCTTCTTCAAGGTGGTAGGAAAAATTAACTTAATTAATTTAGCGTTGTAGTTACGAAAGAGATGTTTTGGAGAATAATTATTTAATAGAATGATCAACCTGTAAATTTTAGTCTGTAAATTTATCGTGGTGCTCAGTGATTTCACCCCAGGATATCTAGAAATCACGGTGCTCTGTAAATATTTGAATTAATAACAATTGATTAACGAAAAATTAATGGTAATTTATTATAATTGACTAGCAGCTTTGTGATCGTTTTCTTAAAAAGACTGTAAATACTGTGTATTTTATTATCGAAAACCCAAACGATCGTCGAGTGCACGTAAATCTTAAGTCCCTTTTTTATGAATATTTTTTTATAATTGTCGATCTAGCAGTACCTTATCCAGAACTTTATAAAGATGATCGAATGAATATATTGTAATACTCAATAAAGTTTCGAATGATAATTGACGATTTAAAAAAAAACACCCGATCATGTATAATTATTTAATGAACTCGTCGTAATTACGTCCAGTATTTTTTTTTCGTCTAAAGTAACAACTTTATGTTTATTTTATTCATATTATCTCATTGTTACGTCTATTGGACTCGAGTTTTGAGGTATCATTTAGTTATTATCAATGTTTATGTCATTAATATTATTGATTGATTGACTGGAATCGATTATTGGATTTGTTTGGGGAGAATATTTATATTGAATGTTGAATGACCAGTGGAGGCTGTTCTGGTGTGAATTTTATACTCTCAATTTCAGGGGATATTTATTCTCTGAGTGAGTTTTTATTTCCATGACTGTGTAGAAACGTAAGGAGGCTTTCCAATTCAATGGGGTTTTTCTACTTCTAGTTGATGTATTATAGTTTCCACTAGACACAAACTTTGGATATTCATTCTAAGGATTAATCAGTTTATCAATGGAGAATATAACGGTTAATATAGTTTATTGTACGTAGAGGAATAAAGAGAATAAAGTTTTATGAAATATTACATTATTTTTTATTTGAAGAATAGACTTGACATTTTTAACGAATTATTTTTAATTTTTATTTACTGGAAATTATCTCAATCGCAGTCGAGACGAGGCAATTTATTGGTCTTGAGTGGAGCTTTGAACAGAAAATAGATATCAAAGTAGAAATTATACTACGACTCCTGGGAATGTTCTGTCTGCAACAAAAAAATTGTGATGGGCAACTACTCACTATCGAATCGTGCAAATGCTATTTATTATGGGGATAATTTTGCAGAGTTGAGCCCAAAAATTTTTTTCATTTCAGTGTTTTATCATCAAGTATGTCAATGACCCAGTTACTAACAGCAAGAGACGTACATCAACTTTAAAAAAGCATTAGAAAATCGGTGAACGTATATTAGAGCTATTTCTATTTATAAATTATTCCATGGTTTTTTTATAATTTGAGATTTTTTATAATTATTCAGATGAATAATAACTCAGAAAAATTGAAAATTAGATGAAGTGCTCTATTATACTATTACCAAAAAATCATTTGTTCTTTTTAGGGCCAATGAGGGTCTGATTGATTATTAAAAAGGTTTTTTTGTTATAAAAAAAAATTAAGATAAGAGTGAAGGAAGAAAAATTGATGCTTCCAATTTTTTGAGGGTTCAAGGTCATGCTTGCATGACTTTTTCATGATTTCTCTTTGAAATCATCGTAAATAAAAACCACAGGTCGCAGTAACTGGATCATGCCGGTATTAAAAATCAGTGGATAAAAAGAAAAAATGATCTGAACTCTCACGTCCCCATCTCTACTCTTATAGAAAAAAGATGAAAATAAAAATGAAATGACTACTCACTGGAAACTGCCCCATAAGACGACTGGGGCTTCGTCGGAATTTTGGGGCCTTCTCTCTTGCCCCTCCCCCTGTCATCTTCATTAATTTTTTTCACCTGTTTAAAGAATTAAAATTATTAATTTTGAATTCTTAACCCTCACGCCACCCGATCTATCCCTCGTGATCTCAAAAGGTGTTGATTTTTTCCATATGATATTTTAGGGTTTCACCTGTTCGTCAATTGCATCAAACTGCCACTTCCACGTGTGATTATACAAAAACTGTCTGTGATCTGCTCTGTTATCGTCAGGACTGTATGTCTCCAGATGACAGGCAGGTGTCAAAATAGTCATTTTATGTCGATTAATGGCGTAACACCTCCAGAAGTGCTTGACCTTGTCAGCGACTTCCTGAGGTGAGCAGTGACTCCACCGAGGAACAAGTTGACAGAACATGGAGAAGGGCCCAGAGCACTCGAGCTTTCTGAGCCTTCCATAAACCGCCAACTCCTTGTAAGTCATACCCATGTCTACCTCATCAGCTTGAACAAGCTGTCCTCCCTTCAGAGGCTCCAGCTCAGCTGTCGGTGTGGCCTCTAGGATCTATCGACAAACAATTTAATTCTGTAAATACTAACGATAAAAAGTGGCCACTGAATAATAGTATATTGGTTTATAATTCGATAAATCGATTTTAAGGACCGGTTGGATTATCTGGAAAAGATAATTTACTCCAAAATTGGGATTCCTAATTACTCTGGCAATTAATCGTTTTTTTCAATAATTGTTAGCTAGCGTTCTAGCGGTTGGCAACGACTAGAACGCTAGCTAATAATTATCGGAAAAAACAATTAATTGGCGGAGAAATTAGGAATCCCAATTTTGGAGTAAATTATCTTTCCGAGATACTCCATGGGGCCTTAAATTCGATAAATAGTCCATCCGGGCCTTAAATCCGAATTATTTCTACTTCTCTTAAATAAAATGTACCTGTTTGATAGCAGAAAGTCCATGCCTCTCCCCAAACCACACGAGAAATCTCTTCAAGTCCTCCTTGGAGATACCCCCAATCGGATTAATATCCGCACTACTACAGTCGTACTTCGTGAAATAGCCCCTGAGGGCCTCGTCGACGTTGCTGGAGCCGAGAACAAGCAGTCCCCCAGGTCGACCCCTCACCCAGAGCATCAGCTGAGCAAAAAGATAAGCCACGACCATTCGCATTCTCGCCTGGACATTCTGAAGAGCAAGATTCTCCCTAGGACTCCCACCGTGGACCCTGAACTTGGGGGTCATCTTCGCCACCTGCTGGAAAATCCCCAGGACAGCTGTGATGGCTGTATCGATGACAATGCTCAAGTGATACGAGCCAATCTGACTAGCCAACTGAGAAGCTCTTGCCTGTGGAATAATAACATCAATAAATATGCGTTATTCATTTACATTATGTAAATCAGTGGTTACTAGAAGGGAGTGGTACAGACACGCATTGAATTATGGATAACTTGGAAGTAATCAGAGTAACTTCTCCACAAGAAACAGAAGCAGAAGAACTCTTGCCTTCGTCTGTGCTGAAGAATTCTCAGTTCCCATGTAGCACGTCACCAAGAGAGTATTGCAGAGCTGTTTGGGATCCGTTGGAACGTAATCGCAGTCCCCGACGATTTTACGAACATCTGCAAGCACCTGGGGATCTCCAGTCTTCACTTCCTCGACGATCATTCTACACATGGAGTAGACGATGCAAGCAACTGATGATGAGTCCACCCCTCCGCTCAGGGGAAGAAAAAAACCACCCTGACAGGATCGACGGAGATAATCCCACAGCCAGCAGGCGGGTGCCATCGATATCTCCTCTTCTGGACGGAAATACAGAATCTCTGGAGAAGTTGTCAGTGAGTACTCGTCGGTCACATGACTCGTATCAATTCGGGAACTCATTAAATCGCAGATTTCACCGTCTGATGTTAAAGCGAAGTCGATTTTCACCCGGGGATACGCCGGACTCGACGCCGATGAATGCGTTCTCGAGCGAATTCCATTCCTGTAAGATCTAGAAAGAGATATCAATATTAAAATATATTTTTTTTAAATAAACTCGGGCTTGAACTTTTGTTTCATCATCATTTATAAGACGAATATACTGTTGTATTTATTCCTTTCTCCTTTTCAATCTAAATTCAAGTACGAGTCCTTTTTCTTTTCCCTCATTTAGTCTGTCCTTGATCTTTTCTTCGTCAGATTATTTCGTTGACATGTGACTTCTTCTAATCAATCATAATTATAATTCCCTTTCGCTCCATTTTTAATAAACTTATTTAATTACAAAACCGAGTCTAATTTTATAATATTCAAGGCTCGAGTGGATTATCCAGAAAAGATAATTTACTCCGAAATTCGAATTCCTAATTACTTTGGCAATTAATCGTTTTTTTTTCAATAATTGTTAGCTAGCGTTCTAGCGGTTGTCAACAACTAGGCCGCTAGCTAACAATTATCGGAAAAACGATTAATTAACGGAGTAATTAGAAGTCCCAATTTCGGAGTAAATTATCTTTTCCAGACAGTCCATCCGGGCCTTAAAATCAATCGTTGGTTGGTAATCATACCCATATTTTTGGAGAAGGGTGGAGACGCCGAGCACTAGTATGATTTCGATTGAGTCATTTCCAGTGCTTTGAATTTACCAAAATTTATTTTATTATTCATTTTTTAATTCATACCTCTAGGAGTCAGATGTATCGTACACAAGCATTTATCATAGATGAGGTGACTTGAAGTTAATTCTAAGGTGAAACCTAGGTCGTGAACCTAGTCCTAGTATAAGTCAGGAAAATTTTGTAAAGGGTCTTGTAGTTGTGGATTATCAAGAAATCTCCTTTATGATTCCTCATCATGATTGGAATCCAAATGGGATCATTTTGTTGAGATATATTGATAAAATCATCATCATCCCTTCTCTATTCCCTCAAATGCGCGGTAAATGCCATAGAAACTCTCGTGTTTTTGTGCTGAGACATAACCTATAATTCCAATAATCAGGAAAGGTAATTTTCCGGAATTTCCGCAATAAATATTCCCCCACTATCTTCAAAAATCTCTGGAGACAGTCCTTTAATCCTTGGAACCTACAAGGTCCCAGGAAAATCTTGAAAATCATTTCGAGTTTGAAAGATGTTTACACGACTCCAACCAAAGTCTAAAAAGGAGATGATTATTTCTTACTGTCAGGGTACCCCACATTTCAAGTTTATAATTTTTCTATAATCAAAAATCATGAGATTATCTCGACAAATACTAGAATTTCAGACAAATAAAAAAGAGACTGGAGATAAATTAATGATGAGAAATATTGAGGTTATGAATTTTACTGATTTTATATTAAAAACATTGGAAATTCGGAGAAATAAATGACAAAATCAATTCCCTAATTCATTTACCTCTTAATAATTTTTTAATTATGAAATCAAATTATCTCCATTTAATTTTCCATTCAGTCATTTCCATTTTCGGAAAGGAGAGGTTAAATGGAAGAACTGAAAAAAAACTATTGTAAAGTCTGGAGGGATGATGCAAAATAATAATCTAATCATTCTTTAGAGTGGCCTTCGACCTTCGGAGATGGCCCTGGGCACCCGTTCATCGCGTCGCCACAACGATCTGGACAGACTGACAATCCAAAAGCAATGGAACCTGGGTATCACCTCAGAGGTAGATCTCCCCGAGGACTTTGACCCCTCAACAGCATCTCCCCTGGACGAGCGTTTCAACACCGAGGTAAAACCCGACCTGGGGGAGATGCTCCGGCAATTCGACATCTCCTACTTCCAGGGTAAAATAAAGGGATACAGAATCGAGTGGAATGCTAGCCTGATAACAGCCTACGGTCGTACAAATTTCTCCCAAAATAAAATATCAATCTCCAAATTTCGACATCAGGGGCAGAGGCGATCGGTCCTAGTTAAATCAATTCTCCACCAGGCGATCCACGCTTACCTGGACAAGCTGGGACTCAACAGGAGGGAAAATGCAGCTCACGGAAAGGACTTCAAGATTGAGAAGTCGAGGATATCGAAAGCATTGGGAGAAGATATAGCATCGAGGGATGATGTCAACTGGACACAGGCGGAGGAATTTATATCTGCACACCAGTGCACCAAATGCAAGAAGATCCTCTACAGGAGAAAAGGACAGGATCCTAATAAAGTGAAACCTTACACAAGGGTTTATCACGACTGTCCTGGCAGCTTCCGTCCCATCAAGATGATGGAGACGTACAGGGCAAAAGAATGAGGGGACATCTTTCTGAATGAGAAAGTCCTAAATCTGATGGAAAATTGATTGATTGGTCATAAAGATTAACTCCCTCAAAGAAGAATCGCTGTTAGAAATCCTTTGAAATTTCATTCAGTGTCATCTAAATTCTCAATTATTCAAGTTGAATAATTCTTGATGATGATTCATCATCGATTTTGTAAAATATGTTACAAAAAATTGTCATTCAAAATCCCGTGGATTGATTGAATAAATTGAGGAGATTTATCACGTTCACGGCGATTTATCGTCTTTTTCTCAATCAGTTGGAAACGATTTAAAAAATTTACTCGTATCAGTTATCAAAATGGAAATTCCTGGGTGTTACAGGACATTATATACATATTGTTATATATAAATATATATATTTATACATGTTTTATCATGAAGGATCATAAAATGATGGAAAAACCCGTCAAATAGTGCGATTGCGACAATTCTACACCCAAAAAAATATTTGAAAGGTCATGACTTTATTGGGGATGAAGATGCGGGGATGAAACAAGAGCCATTGGAAAGCTAATTAGAAAATGGCTAATTAAAAATGGTATAACAAGTACCATTATTCACCAGTAAAATGGTTGGCTTTGAGAGCTAAAAGTGTCAACTGCCTAAAAATCAGAAAGATGAAAGAGTAATACTAGACATTTACTGATAAAAAAAATTACCTGATGACTTCTAAATCAAAAGTGGCAGTTGTAACTTCGACTTCCCGCAATGAGAACTGCTTGGCCCGCGCTAGCATGGCCCCGTTGACAGTAATTGATGAAAATCCCATGAAAAACATTCTCCCTCCATCGCACCCAAAGAAATCGCTGTACATGTAGCAGCCCCCAGCCTTTGCCGATGCTGTTTTCACTAGATCGACGACTTCGTACGCCTTTCTTATCTCAAACATCGAGCCACTGGCATTCGATATGATCTCCACACCATCCAGTGAAGCGGGTATGTGATTGCTATCGGGATGCCAGAGTTCCTCGCATATTTCGAAACCAATGCACGTATCTCTGGTTGCAATTACTGCATCGCCTATCGGAACAACTGTCTGACCAGTTATTTGGGCTATTTGTCGAGGAAGAAAGTAATCCTCGACTGTTCTTATCTGCAAGACAATTATCCAAGTCAAATAATTCATGTGCGAATAAAAATTCATAATAAACTTTACTATTTCTATTAGATTCTTTTTTAGATTTTTTTTTTATGCAAAAAAACTTCTATTGACTTCTTATTATTTAATCATAATTTATTTCTCGTTTTATTTTGGTCTATTATTCCTTTTTAAGAAATGATAAATTGGAAATTTTTTTGAACCTTTCTCCAGGGAGAGAACCACCTCCCCTCTCTGTAGATTGAATTATCGCACATTTGCATTTTCGGGCGAATCAACAAGATTCTTCGGTTTAAAAAAGCAACTCTGCAGTTGTACGTGACATTTTTGTGCATCACGGGCATTCCAACGTCAATTAGAATATCCTCGCAGATGCTGGACTTCAGGAGGACCGCCAACACCTCCCAGCTGTGGCGAATCGTGTCGTATTCGTAGAAATGATCCTCGCAGTTGTAACCCCTGCGAATAAAAATTTATCAACGATTAAAAAAAAACGGAATGAGAATGTCAATATCTGAAACTTTTTGAATTTGAATAAAGTAGTTACATGGTATGGGTAAAAAATTGTGGGTCAAATGTCAGAGGTTAATATTGTTGTTGTTATCATTAGGAACAATGTAAAGGCAAGGGCAAATGTACGATTAATTACTGAAAAAAATTGATTGAATTCCATTTTCTGAATGAAATATCCGAAAACATGTGTTAAAAGTTGAGGGTCTAATTTGAGGGTCAAATTTGAGGGTTAAACATCTGTTTCATCATTATCTCCAATGAATTAAATCGTGAGGGTAAATTTACGACTAATTATTGTAATAATCTATATTTTGACTAAAATATTCAAGAAATGTGGGTCAAATATTGCGGGTCAAATTTGAGGGTTAAACATCTGTTTCATCATCATCTCCAATTAATTAAATCGTGAGGATAAATTTACGACTAATTATTGCAAAAATCTATATTTTGACTAAAATAT